TCTACTGTGTGACCCGTGGCGACTTCAGCACCTACCAATATCTACTGTGTGACCCGTGGCGACTTCAGCACCAGTCCTTATTATTATCGATGATTCCCATCTGAGGACTTCTTATTCATGGTCGCTTTATTTATATTTGATATGACCTACGTAAAAAACCTTTTATTTAAATCATTTGCACCATTATGTCGTTTAAATATTTATTTTACCAAAGTAAGTGTAAATTTGAAATATCCATTAATAAAAAAACCTACATTGCTCTGCTTTCGACCTTTGTAAAAATACATTTCACTTTTATGTGCCCTACAAACAAGAGTTGATGTAATCTTAAGCTTTGATAAGCACGATAGAACTCCAAGCTGCCAGTTTATCCTCGGTGTTGTATAATGTGTCCCCTAACGCGTCGATGTTAGTACATAGTCTACACAAGAACACCTGCACACCAGAAACCCGATAGATATATGCATGTCGACAAGGATTTTGTTGGTGGTCATGAACGTCACTGGATTTTGGAGGCGTCCATAGAGAAGACCATTCTAAATCCAATACCCATTGGTCACTTCTAAACAACACGATTAGACAATGAGTTGTTGTGGTTATTGCTCTCAATAGGTTAGGACGACAACCCGGGCTATATAAGTGGTGTTTTAGATATTTAGGCTATGGTTTAGTAGATAAGGACCGAACTTAAGTTACAGCAGCTATGCGTATATTTGAAAACTCATATCGTCTAATAAGAGGCATTTCGGGCCTGTACCGATCGATCCTTTCTTTATTGAACATGACAATAAGACAGTGAAATATTTCGTCTCACTTAATAACTTAGTAGCCATATAAAATTGGTCTAAGAAATTAGAAAGTATTTCCGGCTAATCCGAAGAATTTAAATAAACACTGAATTAGGGTTGGTCAAGATTGATCCAGTGGCATTGGTATAGCCAATAAGAATGCATTTTAACCATTTTGGTTATTTGTTTTTAACCAAAATTCATTTTTGTGCCAGTTTTGTTGGAGATTACCAATCGCTACAAAATGTTCGTCGTTATATGTCTAGTGGAAATTAAGAAGGTAGTGTCAAAGGTCTCCTTTGAGGTTTGGCAGTTGCATATAGTACATGGATATGTATAGTAAGGTTAAATGACTTCTTACAAAAACATAGGTACCATTTCAATATATTCATCAGTTAGTAAACTGTACATGAAAGCATTGTCTTTTGACATATAAAACGTTACCTTTTGACAACATTACTCAAACGCACACTACTTCCTAATATATGTTCAGCTTAGACAAATTTGATTTTGATATTTGATCTTACGACTGACGTTTATTTTGACCATTTCTTGTATTATATAGATCAAAGATGTTGTCAGTAGCTATTTACCTGTTAGTTCCACACTTATACTGGAGACAACTTCTACAACACCTGTTTGTAAGACACAGCCTTACTAAAACAGCCAGACACCACAGCGAGTTATCCAGATGATGTTTTCTGGAGAGAACATGCTTTTTGGTAACCATTAGTCGTCTAGAGTTAACATGAATTTGGTAACGTCCACTTGTCCAACCACTCTACAGTAGAAGACAAAATGCCTCATCTACATCAACCGCTTAGCTCCATCTTTTCCTATAGCGAAATCAACATGGACAGCTTTCCACTAAGCTGTATGACAAGCGTGATGATTTCAACTTCCCTAATGTGAAATTTTCATTTCTGGATAGCAACATCGCTGATTCTTCAACCTATGCTGTTTACATGTTGCAGTAAGTATTCAAGGTCCTGTTCTCATTATCACGATATTTTTGCAAGAAGTCTTTAACTGGTGAACTAACACCGAACACAGGGGTTCAAAAGATGCAGGTTTATTAAAATTAAGGGGAGGGGAGGTTACGCTCGTCATTGTGATCTCGTTGAGAAATATTCTATTTCTTTATACGATACGAAGCTGGAAGTGTTTGATGTTTCTTAGTTGGCTTCTTGGTTCCTTTGTTGTATACATATTCCTAATTTGTAAACGTGATATTGTTTACTTGTATAGAGCTAGGTTTACATGGCGGGTGTCGTCAGAATCAGAAGACGCTAACTCTTCCGGAACATCTGGTGTTATTTTCCTTGTTCTTTTTCGGGAGTATCCGTGTAAATCTTTCTTATTGGTCATATTTTGCCCTGGTTTTACTGAATCTGAGTTTGATTGTGATTACGTTGATATGTCGGTATTTTCTTGCTTTCGATGGAACTCCATTGTCTCGAGTTTATAATACTGGACATTACCTCGGCTCTGGTTCCTTGGGATCACTGTTTCTGAAGACACATCAGCTGTTAAATCTAAGTTTCACTGTAATATTACAGATATCTGTCTCGTGCACTAACCTGTTGCCCTGATAATGTATTTGCAGACAACAAAGATATAAGCAGTTGCTCAGATACTTTGTTACTATTGACAGCCATATGCCATATGGAAGTTACCCTTTGTTTAAACACTGTTCCTACAGACAACCAAACCTATGACAGTTTTCAGTTGTTTAGATACTGAAATGGAGAAAATGAAAAACTCCAGTTGGTCAGATAGGTGTTAAAAGGGACATGTTTTAAGCAGTTTCTATTTATGTAAAGAGTGGTTGGCAGTTTACAGTTGCCCAGTTACCGTTACTGGAGACAACCAAACCTTAGGCAGTTTCAAGATGTCAAGATACTGTGTTACTAGAGACAACCAAACCTTGGGCAGTTTCAAGTTGTCATGATACTGTGTTACTAGAGACAACCATGCCATAGGCAGTACCAACAGTGTTTCTAGAGCTAAAAAGGCAGTTTTCAGTTGTGAAAACAGTGGTTATCAGTTTGTAGTTGTGAAAACAGTGGTTATCAGTTTGTAGTTGTGAAAACAGTGGTTATCAGCTTGTAGTTGTGAAAACAGTGGTTATCAGCTTGTAGTTGTGAAAACAGTGGTTATCAGTTTGTAGTTGTGAAAACAGTGGTTATCAGTTTGTAGTTGTGAAAACAGTGGTTATCAGTTTGTAGTTGTGAAAACAGTGGTTATCAGTTTGTAGTTGTGAAAACAGTGGTTATCAGTTTGTAGTTGTGAAAACAGTGGTTATCAGTTTCCAGTTGTGAAAACAGTGGTTATCAGTTTGTAGTAGTGAAAACAGTGGTTATCAGTTTGTAGTTGTGAAAACAGTGGTTATCAGTTTGTAGTTGTGAAAACAGTGGTTATCAGCTTGTAGTTGTGAAAACAGTGGTTATCAGTTTGTAGTTGTGAAAACAGTGGTTATCAGTTTGTAGTTGTGAAAACAGTGGTTATCAGTTTGTAGTTGTGAAAACAGTGGTTATCAGCTTGTAGTTGTGAAAACAGTGGTTATCAGCTTGTAGTTGTGAAAACAGTGGTTATCAGTTTGTAGTTGTGAAAACAGTGGTTATCAGTTTGTAGTTGTGAAAACAGTGGTTATCAGTTTGTAGTTGTGAAAACAGTGGTTATCAGTTTGTAGTTGTGAAAACAGTGGTTATCAGTTTCCAGTTGTGAAAACAGTGGTTATCAGTTTGTAGTAGTGAAAACAGTGGTTATCAGTTTGTAGTTGTGAAAACAGTGGTTATCAGTTTGTAGTTGTGAAAACAGTGGTTATCAGTTTGTAGTTGTGAAAACAGTGGTTATCAGCTTGTAGTTGTGAAAACAGTGGTTATCAGTTTGTAGTTGTGAAAACAGTGGTTATCAGTTTGTAGTTGTGAAAACAGTGGTTATCAGTTTGTAGTTGTGAAAACAGTGGTTATCAGCTTGTAGTTGTGAAAACAGTGGTTATCAGCTTGTAGTTGTGAAAACAGTGGTTATCAGTTTGTAGTTGTGAAAACAGTGGTTATCAGTTTGTAGTTGTGAAAACAGTGGTTATCAGTTTGTAGTTGTGAAAACAGTGGTTATCAGTTTGTAGTTGTGAAAACAGTGGTTATCAGTTTCCAGTTGTGAAAACAGTGGTTATCAGTTTGTAGTAGTGAAAACAGTGGTTATCAGTTTGTAGTTGTGAAAACAGTGGTTATCAGTTTGTAGTTGTGAAAACAGTGGTTATCAGTTTGTAGTTGTGAAAACAGTGGTTATCAGTTTGTAGTTGTGAAAACAGTGGTTATCAGCTTGTAGTTGTGAAAACAGTGGTTATCAGCTTGTAGTTGTGAAAACAGTGGTTATCAGTTTGTAGTTGTGAAAACAGTGGTTATCAGTTTGTAGTTGTGAAAACAGTGGTTATCAGTTTGTAGTTGTGAAAACAGTGGTTATCAGTTTGTAGTTGTGAAAACAGTGGTTATCAGTTTCCAGTTTGTAGTAGTGAAAACAGTGGTTATCAGTTTGTAGTTGTGAAAACAGTGGTTATCAGTTTGTAGTTGTGAAAACAGTGGTTATCAGTTTGTAGTTGTGAAAACAGTGGTTATCAGCTTGTAGTTGTGAAAACAGTGGTTATCAGTTTGTAGTTGTGAAAACAGTGGTTATCAGTTTGTAGTTGTGAAAACAGTGGTTATCAGTTTGTAGTTGTGAAAACAGTGGTTATCAGCTTGTAGTTGTGAAAACAGTGGTTATCAGCTTGTAGTTGTGAAAACAGTGGTTATCAGTTTGTAGTTGTGAAAACAGTGGTTATCAGTTTGTAGTTGTGAAAACAGTGGTTATCAGTTTGTAGTTGTGAAAACAGTGGTTATCAGTTTGTAGTTGTGAAAACAGTGGTTATCAGTTTCCAGTTGTGAAAACAGTGGTTATCAGTTTGTAGTAGTGAAAACAGTGGTTATCAGTTTGTAGTTGTGAAAACAGTGGTTATCAGTTTGTAGTTGTGAAAACAGTGGTTATCAGTTTGTAGTTGTGAAAACAGTGGTTATCAGTTTGTAGTTGTCCTAATTAACACTTGAGACATTCATGCCTTTGGCAGCCTCCACTTTCCTCCAGTACATACACACATTGACTTTACTGTTGAATAGACTTCTTGTTGAATTATGTATGATCTTTTGTACTCTATTTACAAAACAGAAAGTCAACATCTTTCATCAATATCACATTTTATTGTTTAGTAAATCTGTTCAGAATTTACACATCAATGTTGTATGTTAAGTATAATGTTTGCTTTCACAGTACTGTCCGATACCATTGGTTCAGTAATGTTTCTCTAAAGAGACTTTAGCCAGGTTCCTCTGTATGGGTTAAATTAAGCAGGTTAACAGTCATTATATATGATTATATTAAACAAGACTATTAATTTTAACTGGAATGAGTGCTTACCAACATAATCACTAATGTGAATATATATTTTGACATGATGGTGCTGTCATATAAGACAGGTGAATTTGGTATAGACAGGTTCTATTGTACAGATGTACAGAACCCCTACCTTAATCACTCCATAGGCCAGTATAGACTACAGGAACTGTGTTACAAACACATCCAATATATAGACAATAGGAGAATCATAGATATATACACAGGACACAATACAAAACAATGGAAACGTGTTTTACATGCAATGGAATATACATGATTTATTGTCTGAATTACAATGCATTTCCACAGTGACTTTATAGCAAATGCACATCTATATGTACATCAAATCTATATACAATATCAACATTGGCTAACATATAATATTTAATTCAAAACAGTTTGTCAAAACTACTAGCCACTCCCACCAAATTCTCACTGCTGAAGCTCATCCATCCTTACATACCTGTTGATCTATATATAAATGTTCCCTTCAGCACTAGCTACTGACAATATAGCCGGAGCTCAATACATATTACACAAGTCACATGAGCACAAAACAGTAACATTTCATCAATACACATTGTAATTGATAACGTATACTGCAAGTTAAACTTACCATGAAAAACCTTTGTAAATCAGACACCTGAAGAAACAAACATTTTGCCCAGTATGCAGAGGTATTTAGTGCATATGAAAGCATAAGGTGGGAAATTTGTACTGATTATTCTAGCTTTAGATCAAATATTTGAATCAGCTTTAAGCATAACTACAACACTTCAAAAATTGCATTTAAAATTTCATCCTTTATTTAACAAACTTTTCAGCAATTTCATACTTAGCTCTAGAATATTTACTGTTTAATTTTGGCCACAATCAATGTACCATTTGTCAGAATCTTTATCAGATTTTTGATTTTAGGAGATTTTCTTCCTGGTTCTCGGTTATTGTTTCGGAGTAAACTTGTGTCAGAAAGAGAATTTTAAAGGACAAAGGCCTCAGATACCTTGATTCAGTGTAAAAAGGAAAAGAAAAAAAAGAACCTGATTGATTGACAGATACCCATCTATATACATTTTTTTATATTATTTATTTATTTTTCAATGGCAAATAAATATAGAATCTTATAAATAAGTCAATATATAAAAATCCAATGTACTCATATTTTTTCTACATTGTACTATACATCAATAGAGATATTCATGTGCAAGCAGTGAAGTGTAATTCCTTAAAACCTAGAGTTATCTCCCCTATCTGGAAAAATTCCACGAAAAAAAACTTTCAATGTTTTTAAATTTCAAAACTTCTTTTGTAGATTCAAAGATTCAATCGAAATCCTACCACCATACATTCCAGCTGATCAAACAGAGATTCAGTGCTACTTGAAATGTTGGGAATCAACAAAGGATAACATGACCTTGTATGAATATTGCACAGTAAAGAATTCATGACAACGTACATATCATTCAACACACTAACAAACTTGCATTTCCTCTTACCATCAAACAAATATTTTTCAAACAACTTTTGCTCCTAAAACTATCTTTTCCATGGATTTTGGATAACTTCAATATGAGTTTAATTCCATTTCTTTGCACAGAATGCATAAATAGTGTCCCATCAGTGTCACAGTGCTGTCTAGGAGATGTTTACTAGCTATCTTTAAATCAAAATTAATTTCTAGTTCTAGTCTAAGTCTAGTCCTCTCTTATAATTGCAAGCAAAGTTATTTTCTAAATAGACTTATCTAATGTGTACATCTTAATTTGTGCTCTATATGGATACCTGACTTAATGTATTTCATGCACTAAAAAATTAAAATCCTATCAAGAATTCAAAGATAATAATGTTTGAAATTATCCTAATCACCTCACAAGTAAATTGATGGAATGACAAATACTAAAGCATTATTAAACATTAATGGAACGAATACAAAATATAATTTTCCCAATTTGAATCTAAATATACACACGTTCCAGGTAATGGAGCACGACTTACTTCTTCCTTTATTTTATTATGTATTTTAAAGAGATTTGTGTGCAGTAAGGTAACTTCTATTTGCACTAAACTTGGTTCCTTTAGATAATAATGATAGCTATACAACATAGCTTCACTGCTCAAATCACATTAAAAGCACATCATCAGCACTTTCAGAGTAAACATAGTGTGCTATGCTAGTTCTAGCATGGATGTTACTTTATCACTGGACAGGTAAATACTACATTGATAGCTTGTATTCACACAACAAGTTCTTGGTACCAGTTACATCTATACTATTCCGAATTTAGCAATCAATTTATGTGACACAAACATTGATCCTATTTGTTATCCCACAACAGATTACCAACAATTAATTAATTCATGATGGTAATTATATTTACAAGATGGAAATCTAACAGATTTAAGAAATAACATTGAACAGTCTACAGTCTTCCTGTCACATGAATCCATGCTTAACAATGCCCCACAATAAAAGCCACCAAAAGTATCGTCATCAGATATTTGGCAATATGTTTGTTATGATTAGAGGAAAGTTACCATACTGCATTATCACAGAAACATTAGAGAATCTAGAATTACAGCAGATTGGGATAAAGACTTGGTGCCAATGACCATTCCTTTATTTGGACGAGATCACTGGATATCGATGAATCTCAATGATAAATTTGGCCACTCATTACACATTACATAAACACTTTTGTTAACTCAGAAGTCTTTTTCACAAAACGGTTCGATCTTGTCATTATCACATCATGTTGTGTCATTACAGGTAGACATGATTCTGATACTTCTCAAATAACTTTAAAACTCTGCTACAGCCTTTGGGAGAGGTATTTTGTCAAAACAGATCAACATCTACTGTATTATTGCCCTGAGGAGATTTTTGAAAATTGTCCAGTATTTGCAACCATTAATTGTCACTAGTGTTGTAAAAATATTCTTTGGCAAAATCTTTTAATTATGACAGATATTGTTTGTAGTATATTTTACATTTTATTTCAACCAACTGTTTTATTTATTTAGAAAGAGGACTCTGATACAACTTGCTTGTATGTTATGTATTCGATGTATGAAGCTTTAAAATGCTATTACAATACAAAATTTTCCAGGGATATTCCAAAATAAAAATTACGATAAAAGGGATTTCTAAGAACAGGTGTTCAATGATTTTAATACTGAAAGCCTTTTATATGTCCTCATTGCTAGAAGTTCTGATGCGTATAGATTCAATAATTAATACAACCCAGCTTAATTACAAACAACTGATCTAACAAACCATTCCAAAAAACTGATCTAACAAAGACAGTAAATGAATCCTTTAAAAGACTCATAGTATCAAAATTTTTACTTTATACTTAGCAACATGTCACAATCTCTTCTATATAAGACTGATCTGGCAAATTGAAAAGAAAATTTTTTTGTGCAAGTCCAAGCGTAAAATTTAATACTTAGCACACCAGAACACTAAAAAAATTCTTGACAAACGGAATAAGCAAAACCTGTGACTTAAAATCTAATATTTGGAAATTTTATGAAAACAACTAGCCCTTGGTATAAGACAAGTGAAACGCTGTATAAGTAAACAAATACAACACAAACTCAGTCACAGCTTGGAAGAAAAAACAGGAAACCTTGAATTGTTGCAACACATTATGATGTGTATATAAAGTACAAATTTTGATTCATTTATAAATTCTTACAAATGTCAAATGAGATCACGGAAATTCTGTCTTTTCATTTCAGAAACTCGAAGTCCCTATCTAAATTTCTTCAGTGCTAAATCATAAGAAACTGTCTTCATTAAAGAAATGAATATGATATTTTGTACAAGCTGATTTCCTTCCTGACCTTATTCAGTCCACCTGTCAAGCACTTTTGATGAGTCTACATGGCACACAGATAACATCAGTTGGACTTGGTTGCTGCCCAGATTATCAAGCTCAGGAATATCACAACCACTAGTACAATGATCAATATTATACACTTTTTTCGACGGGATTTATGCTGAAAAAAAGTAGAGAAAAATAGCTAAATCAGGTGGAGGAAAGACAACATGATTATTTTATTAGTAACTTTGAGGATTTTCTAAACATACATTTTCTTTTTGATATGTAATATATACAGTAGCAGTATTATGGAATGACAAGATATGGAACCATGATGTCAGTTTATCAGTTTTTACTTTTCCTCTCTGTGAGTGCAGTTTGACTGATGATTTATTGCATAACTACTCTATTAAGTGTGTAATAAACCCTATTACATGTTTGACCTTGCAGAGCAGTCATTGAATGAAAGTTCCTATTGTTTCAATAGTGAAGTCATAGCTTCATGATGTTAAAGGGGCATCCTGATGTAAACAAAGGAAGATCACAGGTAAGAATATCACTGATTTAAATCTTTGTCTGAAGAATTAATTTTTTTCAAGAATGTTTAAAAAATATTTAAGTTTAGTGATGATCAGAATCAGGGATCACCACAGTTTTAAATTCTATTATTGAGAAATTGTGTAACATTTTTCCCCAATAAAAAGTCTATGCACCTCATATGCATGACTATCTTCATTTAACTACACAAAGGGAGATAATTCAATAAGACCCATTAAAAGTTTGACAAGATTTTTTACACATAACTCCTATTGATTTTAGTTAACTAGATCATAACATGGAGAATGGATACTATGAAATCCACATCCTGTACAGTGGTCTTAAGGAGAAAATGTGAGACCCTGGGGTCATGAAATTAAACATGTTTGGCAAAGCATCTGAAGACATTTCCATCCATGAAGAATATTAGATTCTACAATACCTAGGATTTGAGATGAAGAGTTTTGAAGTTTCAATCAATTTGACTCTTTTTGGCCTTGTCCCTCAGGCACTGAAAGTTGTGGATCATATGATTTCAAATTTTGGTGTACCTTTGGCTATGAAACGCTTTTTTAATTCAGTTCAGGAGTTTTCCAGAAGAAGTAGAAAATGTTAAAAGTTCATGACGCCAAACAAAAGGCAACCGTAATAGGTCATCCTGGGATTTTGTCTCAGGTTACCTAAAAATGCTTTTAAACTTGGGAGACACCAGTAAGCAGTAGATAGTAGTGCTGCTAACTGTGACCTGTTTTATAATTAAGATTTCTTTTGTTTGTGTTTCATTGTAAATTGAAATGGAAATTCTTTTAAGATCCTTTATCTAAAACTTTGAGCTATTTATCATACTTACTGAGGAACACAATAGACTAATGGTTGCTTAATTATTCAATATCTTTCTGAACACCACTATGACTGAACAGGGTATGTGTACTACAGGTACATACACATAACTACTTCTACTCATTGTTCTAAATCACTGCATACTAACAAGTAGGAAGATGATATACCAATCAGATGTCATTTGCTATATAATGAAAAATACCTACCTCATTAATTTTTCTGTGAAAAGTATATAGCAATTATAATGGCTATAACTGCTAGAACAACAAGTAGAATTACTATACAAATGCACTTTTTTCTTCTTGCTTTTGACTGAAAATGAAATAGTGAAAGGTGAAAAAAAAAAGGAAAATGAAAAACCTTAAAGCAAATCAAATCAAATCTACAACATCAAGAAACGGTGTTAAAACCATGCACAATATCACTTAACCAATTCTTACAACAAACATTTACATGTATTCCCTCTTTTTTTAATGCAGAGTTACCTGCTCTTGTGAGCAGATATTGTTACTTGTCACTTGTCATTGAGCTCTACAATTAGGCCTGAAAGTCTCTGAGCCATTTGGTTTTGATAATTACCATATATCAATTGTGTGTATGAGAAATGTCATGAGAAATCCATGTTATTTTCTCACACACTAATGATGTAACAATCAATGCTAACAAGGGCAGATAAATCTGTATTACAAAAAGATTGAAGTCTCAAGCTCACAGATCACACTGTCATCAGGTTAAGCTAATTTATGACAAAAGGTTATACATGACACAGAATCTACCACAGGACAATTAAAAACACAAATATCTACAAACATGCACACAAAGCATAGGTGAGTGAAATTCAGCAGGATTATAAATTATCATTGAAAATGAAAAGAATTGCCAAGTAATTTTATAACCTTCACAAAATTAATATTAGTTACATATCCTGATTTTTGTATTTACAATATACCTAACTGGCAAGTACTAGTACATGTGTCTTAAACTCCATGATTCTGAATTGACCAGTATAGTATCTAACACTATAGGACTTTCAAATGACCGGTACTTGTTGCGAACTACATGAGTGAGAACTGACCAGTATATGTGTCTCACACTTTGTAACGCTGAATTGACTAGTACATGTATCCCATACAACATGACTTTAAATTGACCAGTACCTGTCTCATGCTACATGACTTTGAATTGACCAGTAAATATTTGTCGCACTGCATGACACTGAATTGACCAGTACTTGTTTCATGTTACATGACTTTGAATTGACCATACATTTGTATCACACTACAGGAATTGAATGGTACCAAAGGTTAAATATGTCTCTTACTATATATCATTTGACCAGTACATGTATTGTGCACTCCACCAGAACATGTGTTTTTCCTACCAGTGTCCCAAACTACATTTCTAGGGTAAAAAAAGCATGAATGGAGGAACTCATAACATGTCTTTAAGAAAAGTATAAACAGAATCGTTACAGAAAGCTCTCAAACCATGCATAACAAAGAAAACCAGATCTGAGCTAGGAAGCCTACCTGATAATCTCTTGCTTTTGACAACTGTTGTGTACCCTCCTCAACCCTGATCTGGGCACTCTCCACATTGGCCTCTATACTGTCTGTAAACAAGAAATGTTCAGGTTAATGGCAAGGAGGTTGCTCTATATATTGGTCTTAAATGTACAGATAACAAAATTCTCTGTCGAGAGTTAAAGAAAAATGACCTAAGTTTTAATACACACCTGTCTCATTATTACTTGGATTAAATATTTGTAGACACATTAATGTACTGGGAACTAGCGAAAATATTCCCATTAAAATAACTGGTTATACACTAATGCTGAATCGCAGGCTTAAATTCTTCAGGTAGAATTATGGAATTATCTTTTATGTGATAGAAGAACAAACAGCAGTAAACAAATTAAAAACAAATACCAAACTTGCTCACTAATGGAAATTTCATAAAATTATCAATTTGACACTAGTCAAACAGAATTTAGTTAAAAAAGCAAATTCCCTGTTTAATAGAAATACAATCAGAGTTTACAACTTTAAACTGTGACGATTGCATCTAGTAGTTTTTGCTGTCGACATATTAAATCTATCATAAAATCTTACCAAGCATTTCTCCTTGTTCATGTACCAGCATACCTAGATCTTTGAAGATCTGGTTTACATCTACAATATCTCTCTGAAAATCAAACATTCAAATTGTTGAAGCCAAACATCTTTGAATGCACTGTAAACAATTTCTATTTCTTTCTAATTAATATTGGGACAAAATTGATCACATTAAGAGCACATAAAGACCTATTTCAGTTAGTATCTTACACTGTACAGGTCAGTATCTGATAATAAACAGGTCAGTGTATATAGGTCAGTATCCTACAATATACTGGTCAGTATATACAGGTCAGTATCCTACAATATACAGGTCAGTATCCTACAATATACAGGTCAGTATCCTACAATATACAGGTCAGTATCCTACAATATACAGGTCAGTATATACAGGTCAGTATCCTACAATATACAGGTCAGTATATACAGGTCAGTATCCTACAATATATAGGTCAGTATCCTACAATATACTGGTCAGTATCCTACAATATATAGGTCAGTATCCTACAATATACTGGTCAGTATCCTACAATATACAGGTCAGTATCCTACAATATACAGGTCAGTATATACAGGTCAGTATCCTACAATATATAGGTCAGTATCCTACAATATACAGGTCAGTATCCTATATACAGGTTAGTATCATACAATATACAGGTCAGTATCCTATATACAGGTTAGTATTCTATAATATAAATATCATTATCCTACAATACACTGGTAAGTTTCCTATAATATTCAAGGTGTTCTGGTTAGTCTATTGAAACTTTCCTTACCTGCATGAAAAACATAAATCTTTTAATCAATTAACCAGTTATTCTACTATCCTTTGGTAAATTGAAGTGTACATTACACTAGACTCTTATTATCCTTATAAAAAAAGGAACACAATGATACCAACTATGTATTCTGCACTAGAATTTGGACAGTAAAACCAAACAAATTCAACCTATCAAAACTAGCTCCAATAATGAATTTGATAAAGGACTTGATCCTACCTCTAGTTTTTTAATGGAATCTTCACGCTCCTGTAGCATTTCTAGATCAACATCTTCTTCCATTTGTAAAATTTGCCGCGTCTGGGAAAATCTGTCAAAAGTATGATTTAAACATGTGATAATTGTTAACATGACATGAACTCAAAAGTGATAAAACTATAATCTAGATAGATGTGTTATTTTACTAAAATTGTTCAAAATGAGCTGTAATTTCATAAACACTGAAGTGTAATGATATGGTAGAGAATTCTGAATGACAATAAACTAATAATTGATGAGCATTGTTAATTAAGATTTTAGAGAATTTTCAATGTAAATTTTTATATATGGTATCACCTGACATAAGGTGTGTTTCTTATTATACATTTGATGGCTTTATGAGGATTTGCTGATTTGGGTCTTTCTACTGTATGCTTTGCTTTATTTTTTGCAGGAAGATACTTCAAGGTCAATTGCATTTGTTATACTATTTGAAATGTCAGATTTGAACATCTTTTTACTTCACTATAGCAGAAAACATCAAATCTATGATTTAAACATGTGATAATTGTTAACATTTCATGAACTCAAAAGTTTTAAAACTATCAAAGCAATATATTTTTCAGTAATAATCTGTTTATCAAATGGAAATTAATCTAAGATTCACTTTGAGTGTAATGATATGGTAGAGAATTCTGCAATGACAATAAAGTTACTGAATAATTGAGTGAACAGTGTGAAAATTTTAGCCACCATATTTTCATGTAAATTTTTATATATGGTATCACCTGTTTCACATCAGAGTGTTTCCTATTAAACAAAACCACAAACTTTATGAAGTTTGCAAAAAGGTCTTGATAAATGCTTTGATTTATTTTTTGCATAAATATTAAAGCAATTGCATTTGTTATACTATTTGAAATGTCAGATTTGAACATATTTTTATTTCACTATAGCAGAAAACATCAAATCTATGATTATCAATAAACAAAAGTATTTCTGGACTAAAAGAAGGAGACTTCCTGGGAGAGTAATGCCCTTTTTACCATCAAATGATCTAAAGATCCAATTTAAACGAGAAATAAATATGCTTCCATACACAGATTGTAGGTCACTTTACAAACAGATAATTTTTTATTTAACATGATTTTTCATGTTCCTAGTATGCCTCTGAATTTAATCTGATACTGTTAACATACCCTGGGGCCGCCTGTTGTTCTTCTGGTCTAATGTCACTGAAATCATTAAAGCCCTGTGAACGAAAAATAATGAAAGGTAAAAACAGAAATAATAGAATGTAATTAGGATGTTAAAAGTAAACAATTGGGCTGTGAACAGTATACAGTTATCTCCCTTAGCTTACATCTCATTAACATTCTATAACTTTTAAGTGCTCATCCAGTATTAAGCAAACATCAATTTTGGCACTTCCTCAAAATACTTTGTAATAAACAAAATACAATTCACATTTTTTGTCAAGAGGAACACCATGGAAATGTTTGTTAAAAACTAACAAATGCCTAGATTAAAATTTTATTAATTTATCATAGAATTCTCACTTTTTCATCGTCTTTTTAATGGTCAAGTCATTACAACACATTTACTTCCCTCCTATCTCACCAACATTTCCTACTTAATGGTACATTGTAACAGGAAAAGAGTCCTAACTTTGCCTTTATGTTTACCTCCCTGTTGTCTACCTTACATTCCTTACTCAATAGTACATTGTAACAGGAATGAGTCCTAACTCTGCCTTTACATTTACCTCCCTGTTGTCTACCTTACATTCCTTACTCAATAGTACATTGCAACAGGAAAGAGTCCGAACTCTGCATTTACATTTACTTCCCTGTTGTCTACCTTACATTCCTAACTCAATAGTACATTGCAAGAGGAAAAGAGTTTTAACTTTGCCTTTGCGTTTACCTCCCTGTTGTCTACCTTACATTCCTATTCCTCAATAGCACATTGTAACAGGAAAGAATCCTAACTCTGCCTTTGCGTTTACCTCCCTGTTGTCTACCTTACATTCCTTACTCAGTGGTACATTGTAACAGGAAAGAATCCTAACTCTGCCTTTGCGTTTACCTCCCTACTATTAACAAAGCATTCTCCACTTACAGGTGTAGTGGAACTGGAATGGGCCCTTGCTCTGGCTACACTAGCTTTCTCCTTTTCTGCAGCTGATCTTTGAACAGTTTGGAAGTTCTTCAATGCATTACTGAATTCATCTGTAAGTCTGTCTCTCTGCATTCTCCATTTGCTCTAAAATACCAAGCGACAAATATCAACATATTGTAAATATCAATACATTTAAATTACAAGGCTTTTGGAAGGGACCAAAACAAATCATAACTAGGTACATTGACATAAATGTGTTATATACAATATCAATCATTCTGGATTGCTAAATACCAAGATAATACTACAATAACATGCATAAACACAGGTTATTTTCTTCCATGATTTTGGCAGTTCACATTTTGTCATAAGTACAAAAAATCAGAACCTATCAACTTACTGTATAATCACATATTTTTGTGGGCATCAAATTTTCAATAAAATATTTGACACTCAAAAATAAATGCCATATGAAAATGAATGATTTCACAGTAATTCACAATCTTTAGCTTTTACAAGGTCTTTGAAATGTGAATATAAATTCAGATGTGTGTTGCTATCATTAATAATAATCTTGTTATAATGACCAGATTAGAAGAAACAATTTAATGTTCCTGATAAAGTGATGATCATTCAACTCCTGAGCCAAATGCCTGATCGGTATATGCTTAATCCATCAAAAATAGAAAAAAGTTTAGAGGACAGTACCAATAAGTATTTGTTTTAAGTTTTCTAAGACACAGATTTACTCAATTTATTTATTTTTCTTTCTTCATTAGCACCTCAGAACTTCTTGAATGTACTTACTTAACAAATATTGTATGCCATAAAATGTTTATACAATGTTTTGATGTACTTTGTATTTACAACTTGTACAGACAAATAACAAAGATTACACAATTTCAACTGCATGACAGAAAACTGATTTTCATCATTGGAAATTCAGATGTAGCAAAGACAACAAAAGTAATATGTCTTGTTTGTGATGTAGGAAATTGTGATGAAAGGAACAGATGTACTGTAGCTATCAGGTGAAGAACACATTACCACTGACTCAGTGTAAGGGGGAATGGATTAGGAAAACAGTGTAGTATTTGTTGGCATTTTTTCTGAAACTGTGTTACATTACATTTATTTTATTCATTTAACATGTTTTACATTCACTATTAAGGCCTTTCAGTGGATGAGCTATGTTAAATGTGTTGATGGAATTATTTCACCGCTAGATAAATATGACTGATGTCAAGTTTTTCACACATTCATACAATTTGAAACTAAAAAACTGTCTTATTGAGTGCAAAAGTACACTACCTGTTCTGATGCTGGCATAGGAAGGTGGGCCAGCTCTTTAAGTTCATGATTTGTATCTTTAGCCAGCTGATTGGTGTAAGTCTGTGCCTGGTGCCTAGAAATAAAACCAACATTAACTGACTTCCTTTGTTACTAGGTAGTAAACATTTATTACAAGAGAAGAGGATTTTTCAGATTATTTTTCTAAACTTTTCTGTTTATTGAGGACATTTTTCTAAATTTTTCAAAAAAGTAATCACTCGTACTACTTATCAAAGTTAACATGAAAAATGAAAAACTTTACAAAAACCTTAAAATTTGGCAAAACCACTCATTAGAACCAAGCTAGGGTCTTCTTCTAAAATCTATGCAAAGTAAATACAACAGATTGTTTTTAGTCTGATGAAATATATTCTGAACATACCAAAAAGTATCATTTTAGATGGGGAATGTAACACATTTTTTAACTGCTATCCTCTACATAAACATGGCATCATCTTGTTTAACCTTTTATGTACTTACATTTGCTCTCGAAGGCGGTCACTATCTTGACTGGATCCAATTTGGTTGACAGCCCTCTGCATTTGTGCCACTATTTAAGAAACAGACCAAATATTATCTAACAAAATTCTCTTCATCCTTAAATATATTTCAGTACCAACCTTTAAATGTGGTTTGGCAACAAAATTGATTCAATTAATGTTCAAGGAAACACAGGAGTACATGCACATGGGCACATCTTTCCCCCTATATATCACACTTATATATATGTAAATATCTGTTTGTTATTCAACAAGAAATAATTTTACTTTTTCAGGGTTTCTAAAGTCAACTGAAAGTGCAGTTTTGATATTTTCAGACTTTATGTGTGTGGGAAAGTTTGCCTACAAAACCATATTATTTTCATAGCTAAATAAACTCATATTCTATCAATACTTATCGCATCTTACAAAGAAATATGCTAAATTTGGCATAGGAAACAGTCTTCTGATTAAAGCATTTAATTTAAATGATATTTTCACATTTGTAAGTAAAACTTTTTATTATAAAATTCTGATATTTCATAAGAGATTCTATGGAAGGTCATTGCTATACTTACCATGTTGGGAGATTTTCTGTATATTTCCGCTAATACTATTTACTAATCTGTTGAATTCACTACTACCACCTGCTGCTGCAAAAAGGAATGAGAAAAATCCAAATTGGATATATGCAATGTATGTAATGTATATATTTGCTTTACAACTAGTCTTTGATATCAGCATCACTTTGGATAAAAAATATTCAAGAGTACTGCAGAGTGGAGCAATAAATATAAATACAGAAATGAAACAATAATCGCTAAATCCCAATATGATATTGATGCCCAATTTCAGTTTCATATGGTAGTTATAAGACTTACAAATGTTCAAATAATCTTAATTTTCAAGACACCATTAAAGTAGTGATTACAACTTGTTGAGTTAGTCACATGATAGTATTAATATATATGTACAATAAGATTTACTCACATGATCTACTTCCTGTTTGATATGATGAAAAACCACCATCAAATTCCCCTCTTCCATATGACGCCATAATTGAGTGGCAATCAGCTGTATTTACCAAAAATGTCTTTCTTCTAACAAATCAAAATAATGTACTTGATAATTTTTAATGTCACCAATATTTAGGTTCCAGTTGTTGGTGAGGTGCTTTTTATATCAGAATTCTTTCATCACCTGTGAATTGAAAAAGAAACTGATAAACATCTTGATGTTTGATTTTAAAGTTTTGATAAATCTGTAACAGAGCAGGTAAAAATGATTCCTGCAATATGCCTAGGACAGCATGATACCAGTAATCCATGACTCTATTAATCAGTAAGGTAAAGAAGCATGCTCTGCTGGCTTAGTGACAGAAACTGTATTTATCCTGAAACTGGCACTATCATTGTTGGAATACATCTGCCACATATATTATGGAAGTGACAGAAAACAGCTGTATTTTAGCATGTGCTGTAATTCAACATAATTATTTTTTTTAATTTACTATACAATGTTGAAATAAGTGATGATTTTATATGATGTAATGAACAAGCTTATTTCAGAAAATTCATAAAATCGTTGTCATATACATTGAAGTTTGGAGCTATAGCAATCATTTTGGTGTACATCATCAGGCAAAAATTCAGCATAACTTCAACATCAAGTAACCAAAGATTGAGCAACAAAACTGTTGAAGTTTTGATGTTCTGATTTTCAATCAATGTTGCAGAATTACTAGAATAGTTGGTCAGTGTCTTCAAATATATGCTGCTTTTTGGCTCAGGACGGACAGACAAAAAAGGCTCAGCACTTTTTTCTTCACTCTCGCTAAAATACAGGTTATAATTGAAGACACTGACCGTGTGTTCTCTACTTTCAACACCACAGAGAAACCTAACCAACCCACTTCTTTTACACTGTTCCTTAGATCTTTAATTACACAACCTTTGGGGTTTTCTTAGTTTCCAATGATACCATAACAGAGAAAAAATACTTTCGTGTAGAGTTCTGCGACAGGAATAAAACGTCAGAGTCATTTTCTTTATCATTCTTCAGCTTATCATTAGCTTATATCATAATACACATGTTTTGTATACATATATATACCAGTGCATATATCATATATGTGTTACATATGACCACTAAATTATTAAAACATTATCTGTGATTCCTGGGAGATAGATATTTGAGTACTGGACCCATGGTTTTTTCTGTGGATCTTGCTCAAATTTTGAACACCCATTATATCTTTTACTGATGAGACGCATCAAAATTTTTTAAATAGTGTTCTGGACTTGCCTAACAAAACTACAAAAATAGTTGATTCTTAAAACTACTAATGAGAGTTGTGGAAATTAATCCACTAACCACATATACCATTGAAAAAGTAATCTTTATCTTAGTCTTATAAACATATCAGTATGGAACATGGCACATCCTTAAATAACCCTGGCTGTTGATAGGATGTAAATAATTGTAAACATACAATCACTCAGTGTGTCAGGTAAAACATAGCCTCTATCAGTTTGTACATTTCTAAATATATGTACTCAATTTTGTACATTTTATTTTGACATAAATCTAAAAAGACTAGTTTTTAAACAATATCGCCTTACCTGTTCCTTGATCTAAATATTATCTGAATCATCAAACCCTTCTTATGAATAAAGCTAATCAAGATCAGGTGATTTTACAATTTTATGTAAACATCACTATTTTTGGAACTGTCATTGAAAAGTCACATGTTTATATATAGTATGTCGTTTCACTCCATTCACCGTGATTGTAAGATTTTCGCATGGTGTATGCTGTTATAATCTTATCGTGTATCGCTTTCTATATGAGTGGTAATATCGATTCCTATATACAGATAAATGCCTGAATATTTCTTCTGGTAATTGTACGTGTTGTTCTGTTACGGTCCAACACATAAGCTCCATAAACATAGAACCGGCAAATTTGTATGTATTAAAAAACATCAGTGATGAGTAAATACAGTCAACGTATTAACAACACACCACAAAACATATAATTAAACATTACATTGAATATCAACCTGATTTTTCACTTCCGTACACACCTACTTCATCTTGCTTCTGCCATTATCGAGTGACGTAAATCCAGGGGAGGCTACTCCTGTTCTGTGAAAATTAAGGCGCGTTCGTTTTCAATAGTGCACATTCTTCTTTTTAGGTCCGTTGTGATATGCACAATAAAATCTTAGAAGAAGCTAGTTGATACGGTTAGACCTCAAACGCTTAGTAAGTGAAGCAATGCACTAAATAACAAAGATACAGATTGACATTTGGGTAAAACACTTTTCTTCAAGACAGAATACAATTATGTCTTCCGCTTAGAGATCAAAAGTAGGTCTATCCAACTTGTTTATAGTAGACTATGATATAAGCATTATATCTATGAGGCGCTATTGTAATGAAAAAAAATTAAGGATTAGATAACAATAAGGAAAGTATACGTATGCGAACATAGAAAAAACGGAGAGATTATACAACCTAAAATAAATCTCAAGGACGTACAGACCGTACTGAAATAACCGATATTGACTTCGAAAAACTTCTATGCGCAACCGTATTGTAAATAATCGATAAGCATCAATCAAGGCTAAGCATAAAGCTTAAAACCACTCATGTTCATACGTGTCTATATGTCATGTAAAAAATATCTATGGCAAGCCAATTTGTCATTTTGTCAATATTGATCAAATACTTAACCATATTGTGTAAGATATCTTAATTCTTTTTATCACATAGTCGATCCAATAAATTCCTCCGTGTAGCTTTTTTTTCATTTGTAATATACGTTGGAACGCTTTTCATTGGCTGTGCCAGTCAGAAATCGATTATGATGTCATTATACGGCAATGACGTTACGTCACGAATTGAAAAAAATGGCACAACGAGATGGCTACCGCCAAGCACAAGCGACCACTACAAACGTAGTTCACAGAATTAGATTCCAAATGTGTTACCATTCGAAAACAAACGTTATGAAATCATAGCAAAGTAAATAAACTGCGACACATAACGTCGAAATCTAGCGTTTTACCTGGAAGGCGCTGTTTGACTCAAAGTAGGGTGAATTCAGTTTCAGTTGGCAGAATGACGAGCAATATTAACCAAAAGCGGCATGCCTGGAAACAAAAGACATTCTAAATCCGAAACGTAATATTGTCATGACAAGAGAATAGTAAGAACAGGAGAAAGCATCGATGTTTTACTCACCACTTTCCTCCAAAGCGGACAATAGTCGTTATATTTGTATGTGCACACAAAATTACGCATAATGCATACCAAATACACCGCCCAACTGTTTGCAAAGCAAAGATCTCTGCAGTCATAAAACGTTATGCTTCATAAGCGAGGTAATCAACAGAGATATGATATACAGTGTACTTTTAAGGACTTTCAGAAGGCGTTCGACACCGCCTCAGTCATAAAGCTTATAACAGCGAGACAGACCCATTTAATGGATCGGCAAGGGACTTCTTTTCTAAGATAGAAGGCAAATTAGTCACGGTGAATTGAAAAAATCATATTGGTAATGTGTAGGCCAATGGCTGCTTCTTCATGTGGGATTTTTATCATGATATAAAATAAGCAACGATAGTATTTTGACTTTAAATATATTTCATATAATCGAAAGGATAAAAGGATTAGGCACAAAGTATACAATTTATGAAGCTTTCTCCTCTAAATATTACAGAAACATGGGATTAGTAGACAGTTACAAGTAACTGCTATATAAAATCTCGTAGTAGCATTTTCACTCTCATCTCATTTTGAGGGATCTGATACCATTCATTGAGTATCTGTAGGTAACAAGCTTATATTAAAAATCTCCCAGTAGTATGCACACTCTCGTCTGATTTTGAAGGGTCGGATACCATTCCTTGAGTATCTGTGAGTTTAAGAATGTTTAGTAAAAAATTAACTCTCCTTCAGTCTTGTTCCATGACTTTCTAGCATCGATGACCATGCCATTGCTTTGTTTCTCGGGTGTAGCTCGAGGATTGCTTTGAATAGATTCAGAAAAATATCATTATCTACGAGATAAAGGTTCTCAACAAACTGTCGCCAAATTTCCACCTGATAACAACGAAAGGTCATTTATTCTATTTCGTTTTTTCTAGAGGTTCTATCTTGCTAGATGCTAGGTAGGTGGTTGGCTCCTTTTTTCAGTTTAATTTGCCAGGATTTTATTCAAATATAATCAAGCGATATGACATTTTCCGAGGCCTTTGTCAAACTTTCGTAACTTCAAGAAGCTGTATCACACAAAATCTATACTTCTGAAATCATACTGACGCTATTTTAATAGGTCATTAGTATCAATATGTCTTAGAATACCCAGTTATAGGCTGATGGCAGTTTGATGACTGTTCTCGGAGCAAGTCTTAAAATAGACGTGATAGTCTATACCTTTTATCAATTTATGTAAAACTTCGCCTTTTCTTGTGGGGGTCGTCTGGTCCTGATTTCAAGAAATTTTCTTTCTAATCTAAATCTATAAATTGATCTCGAAAAGCGAACGTTCGGAAAACTTTTCCATAGGACTGTAAAAAATTTCCGATACACGTGTGTTTGAAACATGTGCAACACGCAGGGCTTCGAAATCAGCGCCAAGATTGAAGAGGACAACAGACTTTGAACGATTATTAAGGAAACTGTCTGTCCACTCGGCTACAGAAAGCTCAGTCACACTTTTTTATCAGTCAGATGTACAGAATTATCACTTAGTATATTACAAGGAAGTGCACAGCGCTAGAAGCTGTCTTAGGGGAATTATACGTGCTTCTAATATAGGCTCTACATTTATGAAGACAACTTCAGAACTTGTGGTATTAGCGTCGATCGTAAATGTGTTCAAAAATAGACTAGACAAACGATGATCAAACCGATATGTAGTATGCATAATGACGTTAAATACGAGTAAAGAGATAATGTTGGGGCAAGGTACGTGGGATGTGAGGAAGACCATAGCTAGGCGAGGATAACTAGATCTACACAGAGGTCTCGAGACCCCTTAAACATATTCTAAGTGAGTAAAGTTTCCCTTTTGTCAGTTGGTTGTCATAATTCGTGGAGGTGCCGAACGACATTAAAATGTTTGTTTCTAGAATGGCCCAATAGTATACATAGCAGAAACACAAGAGGCAAAATGGCACAGAATGAATCTGTCACAGACTTTTAGTGGAGACTGAGTTATCTCATTCTATCATTTCCAGTTTTACCTCCATGTAAAATAAACATTCGTTTATACTTTGTTTCCTCTTGTGTCCATTTGCTAGTCAATGTCCAGACGGATCCAAGTCAAAGTGGAACGGCGTCAAAATACGTTGCTATGCTAGACATGGATCAGACTGTGTGGTGTTATAGGACAACTCCTGTGTTTTAGAGTGGAAGCCTGTATGCCTAAACAATATATTGATTGTGTGTGGAAGTGTTTATTTAATTAGTGTATAATTACACTAGCGTGTATCTTCAGATCCCTATACTGCTATGTAGATCTCTAGCCCTGATACAGGAGACGAAGAGGTATGAAATATGCATAAGACACGAGGTTGATGATGATGGTATTACAACCCAAACGACATGCATCTGTACTTTTTACAATTTTTACAACTTCAATTACATTTGTTTTGCACCTCAATTTCATTTTGCTATAAGTGGAAGCAAGGAATTAAATTGTAAAAATGCAGGTTCAATGAGAACGAATGTACATTATTTTACAACATTTATTTCATATAGAGCAAATGGACTTGTGTTTGTTAACAAATCATGATATTTCTGTGAAGACATTGAAAGTGATAAGAGGTGTGTAATGATAAAAGTGATCGAAAACCAATAAAATAACGATAGAGAACTAATTACATATTATACAATTTCTCAATAAACGGAACGTCCCTACTTGCCAACTTTCTCTATTTAGGATTCAGATATACAGGGAAAATTTTGGTAATTGTTTTAGATTTCAATAATTTAATAAAACCACCGTAATGAACGACTGAAATAATCTTAACTTAAGGTACTTTTTTCTGAGTCTTGGTGCTCCAAATACGCCCAAACTACCCGGTGAAATTTTCATTGTCTGTGGTGAGATATCTACTAGCAGGATGTTGTCAAATGTTGCTTTGTATAGTGGGAAAAACACACGTATGGGCTTTATCAAACAGGTATTGATTGAAAAGCGCTTGCGTCGTAACATGTAAATTAGGGCAAGCAATGTTGTCATTAATTCATGGGTGTTGATCCAGGACTTGACCGAATTAATTAATTTCTTAAATAAGACATCTTACCCGTTTGTTAAATATCATATCTGTATTTAATGTTTATGATATATATAATTTATTAAATGAGATATATGATAGGAAGATATATGATTTAGAAAACAAGATATTTTATTCAATAAATAGGATATTTTATTCCATTTTCTTTATAAGTTATCTATTCTAATAAATGATATATCTGATCTAGTAAATAACCTTATTTACTAAAACAACAAGAAAATATCGACATGTCAACATAATCATAATTCAAACTCAAATTCAATAAACCTAGAACAAAATATGAACAAAAGAAAAATGTACAAGGAGACTTAGGAACAAGTACTAGGGGAATAAGACCATGTGTTACGTAAGAGTAAGCGTCTTCTGTTTTATCGATGATACTCAACATTTATTAATGGTAAATCAAGGTAATTCAAGTCAAGTTCCAAATGTGAATAAGAACCATCATGCATACTAACGAGCATTAAATATGCACAACTTGTAGTACATTTCTCGATGAGATAAATATGACGACCACATACCTTTTACATGATCTTCATCAAACCATATATTGTGAGTCTATCTGTCAGCTATCTTCCTCTTAAATGAAATCCGGATATCAACTTCGATATGTAAACACTGTGGGCTTGGGAATGCTGGATATCGCTATGTAGCAATGGAAAATCCTCCGTAGGTAAATTGAAAGGTAAGATCCGAGGTTAGCTGCTGATGCTAAATATTCTGTCGTGTCCTTGATTTTTCAATTCTGATGTTATATTATTCTTAATCATTTCCTTTTTAGAATTTAGG